GGAAAGCCTTCCTCTAAGATCAGGAACAAGATAGGATGCCTGCTTTCGCAACGGCTACTCAACACCGTACTGGAAGTGCTAACCAGAACAATTAGACAAGAAAAAACGACCCAATTTGGAAAGGAAAAAGAAAACTATCTCTGTTTGCAGATGGCATGATTCTATATACAGGAAATTCCAATACATCCACAAAAAGCTAGTAAGAGTTAATTACCAAATCGAGCAAAGTGGCAAGGTACAAGAGCAACATCCAAAAATCAGCTGTGTTTCTATATACAAACAATGAATAATCTGAAAAGGGAATCAGGAAAGCAATTCTATTTACAATAGCAGTTTAAAAAATTAAATATGCTATGGTTTGAATGTGTCTCCCAAAACCCGTGTGTTAGAAACTTAATCCCCAATGCAACAGTGTTGAGAGCTGGGAACTTCATGAATGGATTAATGCTGTTATTGTGGGAGCTTCCTTCTCAAAGGATAAATTCAGCCCTTTTCCCTCTTTCTCGCCCACGTGATGCCTTCCTACATGTTATGACGTGGCAAGAAGGCCCCTGCCAGACACCAGACCCTTGCCAGATGCCGGCTCCTCAAACTTGGATTTCTCTGTCTCCAGACTTTGAAAACTAGATTTCTTTAAAAATTACTCAGTCTGGTTAGGCGCAGTGGCTCACGCCTATAATCCTGGCACTTTGGGAGGGCAAAGTGGGCAGATCAGTTGAGGCCTGGAGTTCGAGAGCAGCCTGGGTAACATAGCAGGACCCTGTCCCTACAAAAAATGAAAAAATTAACCCTGTACAGTGGCGTGTGCCTGTAGTCCCAGCTACTCAGGAGGCTGAGGCAGAGGACTGCTTGAGTCTGGGATTTTCAGGCTGCAGTGAGCCATGATTGCACTCGTGAACTCTAGCCTAGATGACAGAGCACGACTATGTCTCTAAAAATAATAATAAAATAAAAAGAAAAACCACCCAGTCTCTGCTATTGTTACAGCAGCATAAAACAGACTAAGATAAACACTTGGCAATAATCTAAGGAGGTGAAAGACTGTACACTGAAGACTGTAAAACACTGCTGACAGAAATTAAAGAAGACATAAGTTCACAGAAAGACATCCTACATTCATGGATTGGAAGACCGTGTTGTTAATGTGAGAGTACTACCCAAAGTGATCAATAGACTCGATGTTATTCCTGTCAAAATCCCACTGGCGGTTTTTGCAGAAATAGAAAAAAATAATCCTAAAATTCATATGGGATGACAATGGGCCCTGAATAGCCAAAACACTCCTGAAAAAGGACAGCTGGAGGACTCACACTTCCTCACTCCAAAAGTTGTACAAAGCTACAGCAATTAAAACAGTATGGGTCCTTCCCCTCCTCCTCCCCCTTGCCTCCCCCTTCCTACCCTCATGCTCCATCCCTCCCCCTAAGGGGGAGAAAAACCCGTATGGTATGACATAAGACAGACATATAGACTGACTGAATAGAACAAGGAACCGAGAAATATACACTTCAAATATGTAATCAATTGATTTTTGTAAGGATGCCCATTCAATGAGGAAAGACGGTCTTCAACAAATGGTGCTGGGAAAAGTAGATAACCACATGCAAAAGAATGAAACTGGACTCTTACCTAATACCATTTATAAAAATTAACTCAAAT